GCTGGTGCTACAGTTGGTGCTGCTGCTGGTGCTGCTATGTCTCACCTTCAGGCCGTGGTTGAAGCGTGTGAGGCCCTTGACTATACCCTCAATCTCCTCCCTCGCAGGCCTCGAGTCCTTGAGGTGGCTGGCCGCGCCCACCGCCAGGCTGGGCTGTGTCTCGATAACGTCACTGCGGTACCAACGACCACCACCAACAACAACAACACCAAACAGCAACGTAAGAACGACGACAACAACAAGCAACAACGACGCACAGACAGGGGAACGAATACACTTGTTGAGTGGCTCAGGTCGGTGTGCATAGGCTATCATCACGAATACAGGAGGGTGGTCGAGTCCGAAGGGTGTGGAACATGCATGAAACCGACGACAGCCAGGATAAAAAAAAGGCAGCAAACGGCCTACGGCAACAGGGGTGGCGCAGTACCCTCTCCCCGGTTCTACCGTCTCGGCAATAAAACCCTGCGTCCTAGCTCACCAAAAACCCCCATTCAAACCCTCGGCTACGAAACCCTGCATCCTACGCATGACTGAAATAAGTCCATTCAAAACCCTCGGCTGTAACACCCTGCGTCCCATCTTCCGTACTTGCAACCCTTACCCTCGGCTAAAAACACCTGCGTCCAATGCGCAGATAACTCACCCTCCCAGGCACGCCTCCTCCATCTCCTCCAGGCTCGAGTGGGTGGTCCACCTCGAAGCCGTGTCTCGCGCCGCGGCCGATATGGCCCTCGCGTTAGCACCAGTCTCCAGCGCCACTAGGGCAGTCTTCGCCGCACGCGTGATCTTCTCTTCCTGGGTGCGGGTTTCCTGGACCTGGGAGCGTCGGGACCGGAGCGGGTCAGAGCGGCAAGATACTCGTATGCGTATCACAACAGCAGTGTCGCCTGCAAAACGGTGTCATCAGTTGATGGATGGATACTTTTCAGGACGACTTGATGGATGACGCTCCGTGGGGTATCTCGTTCCAATGCAGATATTTCACTACTATCTACACGTGGTGATCACATCGGCCGCACAACCAACGCCTGCGCGGCGGTCAAAAAAAAAAAAAACTCGCGGAAGCGTGTATGTAGATACCTGGCGGAAGTAGTTAGCCACCGGCAGCTCCGTCGGGAACGAGAGCCTCATCTTGCGGTCGCCTTCGCCTCCATCGTCGAAGGATAGCGTCACGCTCTTCTCCACGGCGTCCTCGGATACCTCTCGGAGGTTGGAGAGGCGGTGCGCGACGTCCTTCCCCTTGTCCGACTGCAGCACGAGCATCCAGCCGCCGAGCTCCCCGTCCAGCGTCTCCCCGGCGCTGCTGCCGTTGCTGTCCGTGACGCCCCCCTGAGCCCAGGTCGACCAGGGCATCCCCCCGCCGTCCGTCGCGACCGACGATCCACCCGGCGCCGCCAGCTGTGACTCCTGGGCGGCGAGCGACCCCGTGCCGGTCCCGGCCTGCGCGAGCCTCAGCTTGCGCTTGCGCGTGCCGGTGCCGCCGGCCGTCCACTTCTTGACGGTGACGCCGCCCCGCAGCCACGCGTGCACGCGGTCCTGGTCGGTGACGGTCAGCCACGATCCCGACCCAACGGAGCCGCTGCCGAGGGCGTGCGCCTCTTGCCCTGCCTCGCCTTCGCCGCCGCTGTCGGCGGCGCCGGAGCGCCGCCGTTGCCTCGCGGCATGCTCCTCCGCCTCCTTGGCGCAGAGAGCGTCTGCGGTCGCGGCGCGCGCGATGTCGGCCGCCTCGGCCTCGCCGACAGCCCACGGGGTGCGGTTCAGGTCCGGCATGGTCGCCACCGCCATCGCCTCTTCCGCTTCGTCCTTGGACGCGGGAACGTCGCTGGCGGCAGCGGCAGCAGTTGCGGCGGCAGAGTGTTCCTTTTCGTCTGCTTGCTCCGGAGGCTTTAGCCCGGGAGCGCCTTCCGCGTCCGCCGCCGACCTCCTGCGGTCCCCGGGCTGCTCCTGCTGCTGCCGCCGCGGCCTCCTCCTCGGCGTCATTCGCATCCACCCCGCCCCCGCTTGCTGCTGCGGCTGCTGCTGCTGCGGGGCTCTCGGTGACGGCGCCGGCCTGGGCGAACGGAGCGGCTCCGCCTCCTGCATCTCCCCCTCGAGGCTGCGCGGACCCGGGAGGTCGTGCGCTCGTTGCTCCTGCTGTTGCTGCGCGTGGGCCTGGACGCGTTCCTTCGACTGAGGCGTCTTGGCGCCCGGCACCACTTCTTCCTGGCTGGCCTGCGGCTTGGGGAGCTGCAGCAGCAAGCGCTTCTGCTGGTCCTGCTTCTCCGGGGCCGGGGCAGCAGGGGCGGCCGGAGGCGGCTCGGTAGACTGCTGCCGCTGCTGGAGAGAGGCCGACCTACGCTTCGCCATCTCGTGCGGCGACGGTAGGAGACGCATCCCGCCAGGACGACGCTGCTTCGCGCGGGGCTTCTCCTCCGCCTTCTCCTCGGCCTCCTCCAGCCGCGGCTTCTCCTGCGACGGCTGCCGGTGCAGCACCCTGCCCACGGCCTGAGACAGCTGCTGGAGCTGGGGCGGGGATACCTGGGGTGAAACCTTGGCCGGCACATCGGCGGTGCTTGATGCCGGAAGCTGCTGCTGCTGCTGCTGCTGAGGCTGCGAGGTTGCCGGCTCCGGCTCCGGTTTCGCCGTCGGCGCGGGCGTCCGCTGACTCTCGAACCCTTCCCTCTGAGATAGCTGGTCGAGGATCGGCGGCGGCACCTGCGGCGAGACCCCGGGGGTCTGCCAGGCTTCGTCCGTGGGGGCCAACTGGTCGTCCTTGTCCTTGGCCGGCTGCGCGACGGCTTGCTCTTCCTGCACTCCGTCCTCGTTGGTCGTCTCCACCGCCGCGGCCGCCGGCGGAGGCGGCACTTGCGGCGCTCCGGCCGTCGCCGCCGGTCCTGCCGCCCCGGGCTCCACCGCCTGCTGCTGCTGTGACTTATGATCGTGAGGAACCGCATCCGTGCCGCCAACGGACTCCTCCTTCACCTCCGGCGACGTAGTCTTCGCGGCACCGGAGGCGGCGTCCCCCTCTTCGCGACGCTGCTGCTCGTTCTGCGGGAACCACTCCAGCTTCTCCGTGAGCTTGCGGAGGAACGATTTCTCGGGACGGGCAGGAGTTGACGCCGCCGCTGGCGGTGCCGCCGCCTCCTCCTGCGGCGGTGCCACCGCCACCGCCACCGCCGAAGACAGCTGCTTGAGCTGGGGCGGCGACACCTGCGGCGACGGGTCGGAGAGGTCGCCGGCTCGGGACTGGGAGTCTTCCCCCATGCTTGAGTCTTCGGAAGCGTCGTCGTCGCCTTTGACGGGTGCCAGGCTCTCCTGCTGCAACCTCCGCTCTTCCTCGTCCAGCGCCTCCGGCCTCTCCTGGACCTGGTACCCGACCTGGTTCTTGCTCTGCGACAGGAGGATGGCGGCCGCCTTCTCGGCCTGCTTCTGGCGCTCCAGCTCCGCCTGCTGCTCCTTCAGGCGCTGCTCTCGGAGGAACTCGTCCAGCTGCTGCTTCTTGCGCCGACGGATGGCCTCGGCCTCCTCCTCCTCCTTCCGCTGCCGGAGCATCTCTTCCTCGTGCGCCTTCTTCGCCTCCTCCTCCTCCTCCTCTTCCTGCTGCTGGCGCTGCTGCTGGCGCACCATCTCTTCCTCTTCCTCCTGCGCTTGCTTCTCCTCCTCTTCCTTTTGGTGCTGGCGAAGCATCTCCTCGGCCTCGGCTTCGGCCTCTGCTTGCGCCGCTTCCTCCTCCGCTCGCTGAGCTTCTTCTACCGCCGCCGTCGCCGCTGCCGCCGCTGTTGGACCCGGAGTGTGTCGTCATTCACAAAAGAGCGGGGGGGGGCAAGCACGTGTTGAGAGAAATTCATAGCGGCGACACCGAATTCTTATCCAGAAATATAGCAAAGTTGCATGCAACAAGGTGGTCACAAGACCAGGCAGCCGAACCGACCATTTTTCATCTCTGAACAATTAAGAGTAGATTTGCACGCACGAACGTGTAAGGACCACCGACGCCCAGAATGAACGGGACGACGACAGACGCACACACACATACACATACAGCCCCCTCACGGGGTCCTACCCAATGGCCTTTGGTGTTTTCAGCCGCACCAAGACTGACGTCTTTTCGTTGGTCAGCCGGGTAACGCCTGTCCATGCTACAATGCGTTTTCGTTCTTTTCATCGGTCAGCTGGTTAGCGCGGTCGATGCTAATAACAAAAAACATACACACACACAGTTTTTTAGTCGTCAGCCGGTTAGCGCGGTCGATGTCAATAACAAAAAATACACATCTTATCAGTGGTCAGCCGGTTAGCGCGGTCGATGTCAATAACAAAAAATACACACACACAGTCTTATCAGTGGTCAGCCGGTTGGTGTGGTCGATGCTAATAACAAAACACACCACACACACACACACGAACAGTCTTTTCGTTGGCCAGCCGGCTAGCGCGGTCGATGCCAACCAAGAAAAAAGGCACACACACACACCTGCTTGTGCGGCTGCGGCCGCCTTCGCCGCAGCCTCGACCGCGGCCGCCGCCTGCTGCCTCTGCACCTCCTTCATCTTGCGCTCCTCCTCGAGGCGGTGCGCAGCCGCCGAGGCTCTCTCCGCGATCGCCGAGGCCTCGTCTGCCTCCGCCGCGGCCGCCCGCTGCTTGTTCTGCAGCTCCATCAGCTCGTGTTCTTCCTGGAAGACATTGGTGTGATTGTTCGCCGGGTTGAGGGAATTTTGTCGTGTGTCAGGCGGCCAAGTTTATTTTTTCGGGAGAACAGCCTCGTGGTTGGCTGCCCACCTACGTTTTGGGGTTACGCCTTTGAGCAGTAGCAGCGTGGTGTTTACACCCGATTCGTGCGTTTGCACCAAAGCCGCATGTCTGAGACTTACCCTAAGCCGTGGATTTACACCAGGGTTGTGGGTTTACACCCAAGCTAAACCGCGTGACTACATCTTCCACAACCTGTGTGGTCGCATCAAAGCAGCTGTGGCGCACCACTGCGCCATTACTGGACAAAGTCAAAATCCGGAGGGAACTATTTCGCATCACATGCAAGCAGCCGGTGGGAGACGCACGGCTCCCAGACCGCGACCTTTTGGGAGCGAGAGCGGCCACAACTCTCAGCGGCATGCCACGTTGGTAGAGCGCTGCAGGGGTTTATTGCATCCTGGCCATGACTCGAAGTACTCCGCGGCGGACAGATGGCGGCATCACCACAAATAAAGAGTGCCAGGCATCACTACAATAAAAGAGCGCCACCGCGCTGCCTACAAAAATGACCACAATCACCTCAGGAAAGAGAGAGGGCCGCTTCAACGGCGACCGAAAAAAAAAAACAGGGAAGGGGAAGATAAGGGGTGTGGGGGCGCCAAGAGATACATTCATTTGTTCGGTGCAAAGCCTGGCGCACAAATCAAACACCCTTTGGGGACATACACACCTGAAGCCTCTCTGGTCCCCCTTTGTCCTCATCCGAGTCGAGCTCGCGCCCTTCCTTCAGCTTGAGCTCCGCCGCCGCCGCCTCCGCAGAAGCGGCTTCGGCGATCCGCCCGGCCTCTTCCGCCTCTTGGCCCTTGACTTGTCTCTGCTCCTCGAGCTCCCGCGCCATGGCGGCCGCGGCAGTGGCCTCCACCTCCGCCGCCGCCGCGACTGCCTCCTGCTTCCGCTGCTCCTCCTGCTGCTCGATAAGCTTCCTGTTCTGCGAGTCCTGGTGGAGGGCCATGGCCGCCTTCGACGCAGCCGCCGCAGCCTCGTGCTGCTTCAGCGCCTTCGCCGACACGGCCTCCGGCGGCGGCTGCTGCTGCTGCTGCGCCCCGGAGGGCGCTTGCTGCTGCTGTCGGCTCCCCCTCTGGAGCTTCCCCAGGCTCCCCAGGCTCTTTGTGAGCCAGGACTTCATGGGCGCCTTCTTCGGGGCCGGCGCCGCAGCAGTGGCCAGGTCTCCCTTCGCTCCCGCTTCCGCGGAAGCAGGGTCTTCCTTCGAGTCCGCGTCGATCATGGCGGCCGGGTCCTCCTTGGTGTCCTGCACCATCGTCGGCGGATCGTCCAACCGCGGCGCCGGCGCCGGCGTTCCTTGCGAGAGGCGTTTCGCCGCCGACGCACCAGACGCCGTCGGTGTCGCCGCCGCGGACGGCGGGTTGGACAGCACATCCTCCGCAAACCGCGCTCCCTCTTCGTCCTCGACCTCGGCCGCCGCCTTCTCCTTCTCCCCCCACCTCCGGCCCTTGGGCACCATCGGCATCGGCATCTCGACGGACAGCACCTCGTTCGCGAAGCGTGCGCCTTCCTCGTCCTCTTCGAAGCTTCCCCCGTCCACCCCGTCCTCTTCTTCCTCCACCCCCGGCATCGGCACGTCCTTACTCGAAGAACTTTCGAGCTCCTTGGACGAGGTTAACCTAGGCTGGTCTGCCTGCTGCTGCTGCGGCGGCGGCACGCGAGGGAGTCTGGGACTCTGTTCGTGGCGAGGCGCGGGTTGGTCCGAGGTGGAGTCGCGCCGGTACCCGAACGACGCCTGGCGGAGGCGCGCCTCGTCTGCCGCAGACGACTCGGGAGTCATCATCGGCGTCGCCGAACTGTTGCCGCTTGAGCTCCCCATCTCCGGCGCCTGTCATCGTTCGTCGTTCACGACCGTGCAGGCACGTTTCGGCGCGCCAAACGAGTTTGAGAGCAGCGAGAGAGAGAGTGTGCGGGGGGGGGGAGGGTGCCGGTAAGCGTTGGAGAAGAAAAGCGGAGGGCAGGGGAGAACTTTCGCGCGTGTGCTGCAATAATGCGGCGTACGTTTGACAGAAAGCCGCCGGAGCGTACACGCCCACCGAATGCCTTGGAAACCCTAAACCTGATGCTGTGATTCACCACTGCAACACCCGCGTTCCAGCGCTTATTTGCAAGCAGACCAGGCCGCCAAGCGACAAGGGTTGTATCACTAACTCAACACCGCGATACCTCCTAAACAACGACGAAAGTGGCAGCATCATTTCGCCCCCCAGCAATTGGCCTACCTACCACACCGCCACCCGACGCACCGGCAACGGTGTTCCTAATATTACGCTGTTGTCGTCACATCTCTCACCGTCCCGAACGAATTCTGCAATGCCCACTTCTCCGAGTAGCCGTCGCCGCCCTTCGTGCTAGCCGCCGAGGAGCAGGAGTCGTTGGCGGGGGTCGTGCTGTCGCTCTGCTGGGCGTCGAACTTGAAGTTGCTGCTGCTGCTGCCGATGCGCCGGTGGCGGCGGCGGCTGCGGCCGGTGCCGCCACCGGCCAGGTCGCCGCTGCCGACGCCCTGGTTGCCCCCGTTGACCTCTCCCGACGAGTCGTCTTCCTCTAGCGCGGCCATCGCGCGCCGCGCCGCCGGCTTGCTGTCGTCGATGACCGACGCCGCGCTGGGGTAGACGGCGCCACCGGTTTGGCTCGCCTCGCCAGACCCGTGACCGCTGTCGAAGTCGCTGAGAGGACTGCTCCCGGCCTCGGTCGTGCCCAGGCTGTACAGCTCCACGTTGAGGAGGCTCCCGTCGGCGCTGCTAGCCGCCTCCTGCTTCTCTTCTTCGTACTGCTGCTGCTGCTGCTGCTGCTGCTGATGGCGCTGCTGCTTCTCTTGCTCCTCGTCGCGCTGGTCTAGCTCCTCCGAAGCCACGCTGTCGAAGATGCTGCTGCCCTGGGAGAAGTGCTTGGGGCCGGAGGGCCACCGCCTCCTGGTGTCCTGCCGCTCGAGGAGAACCCGCCTGCTGTTGCCGTTCCCGAAGCCACGATTCCCGTCCGTGGCCGCGGCAGCGGGTACGGCGGCGCTCTCCAGAGCGGCGATAGCGCGGAGGAGCTTGGCGTCCCCCTCGCTGCTCCGAACGCCACTCGCGCCGCCGGCCACCGCCCTCTTAAGGGACTCAGCCACGTCGTTGAACATGCGCGATTCCGGCGAGATGGGCGTGCTGACGTCGGCGCCGGCTCCGGCAGCGGGGGAGGAGGAGGCGTTGTTGTTGCCGCCGCTGCTCCCGCCCAGCTGCGCCGCCCCCCACGCGTTCTTGAAGTCGGCAGCACCGGAGGCACCGTTGGCAGCTGCGGCGGCGGCGTCGTTCTCCGGCCGGGCGTTCTTGGACATGACCTTTCGAACGCGCACGGGCTTGACGAAACCGCGCGAGTTGTTGTTCTTGGCCTTGGGGCGGTCTTCCCGGCCGAACCCCCCGCCGTCCTCGCCGCCCCCGCTGCTCGCGCTGCCGCCGCTGCCCTCCGAGCCTTCCGGCACGGGGGAAGGCAGGAGGCCGCCGAAGCCCAGGCTGCTTCCCCTCGCGCTGCTGCTGGAGCTGTTCGACCTGCCCCAGCTTCTCCCCCGTGAGCTCGTGGACCCCATGGAGGTCGACGAAGCCCTGGAGCCCGATGACCCCCCGGAGGAAGAAGAGGACGAGGAGTAGTCGGAGGACGAGATGGAGGAGCCCCAGCTGACCGAGCTCAAGCTAGACGAGCCGGACCTGATGCTGCTGGAACCGCTGCCACCACCGCCGAGGTCGGCGC